GATTCTCTCTAAATAAACAGGAATGCATTAAAAAAAAGAAGGATAATGACCGCCGAAGCAATGAAAATCTTCATGACTACTTACGAATACATATTAAAAATACGAACAGCTTCATATTAGGCAAAAATCCTTCACGGTAAAATCCCCTACTTCGAAAAGCAACTGAAAATGACCTTGATGGAGGCTGCGAAAGATCTGAATTTTCCAGTTCGCCTTCCGAGTAAATCACTGGTCGAAAACGATTAGCCACTACCTTTTTCTTCGTTCCACGTGCCGAAAAACGACGTGATAACAGCGACTGAAATTTGGCTGTTATGATTCGTTAAATGTATAAACTTGTGGATTAAGTCACTCAGATCTGATACGATCGAAGAACGGATGACAACTCCTGATATATTACGAACCACAGACAATGAGCCCGAAAGAAGGGCACCAATTGTACTGCAGATATTTTCTTTTAAATTTTACTTTTTATAGCTATGTACGCCAGAAAAAGAAGTTGGGCTGGTCAAGTGTCGCAAGGATGTCAGACAACCGATGGACGAAGCGGATAATAGATTGGTATCCACGCGCGATGAAACGAACACTGGGGAGGCCGCCAGCACGATGGCGAGATTCAATCGTGGCCTTTATGGTGTCACCTGGTCTCGTCAAGCTCAGGATCGATCGAAATGGAGAAGTTGCCAGCTGCCTCGATGGCGTGACACCAGAGAACGATGAAACAACAGCTGTTCAAGGTATTCAAGGTAAGGTATAGCTAAAATCAAAATCCCTGCAGTATTCAATCTTTGTGAGAGACTGAGACACTTGGAAGTAGCCCCTGAGAAAGCATACTCATGGTAAATTACTTTTACAGTACTAATGAACTGCTTTTTTTGACTATTGCCTGGAATAACCCCCTGTCATTTTGCCTGCCACTCTTTTTTCTGATTTTCAAACGTCCTAAATCGCAGTTTGTATTAACTATATAAAATTATTTTTATGCAATTTCCCCTTTTTGTTTTACAATGCACCGCATCTTTTTTATCACAAGGGATCTTTTAGTTAAAATCTTCTCCTGTGAAAACTGAATTTCGCAGGTGAAAAGAAAAATTACCTGATTGGTAATGCCTGTTTGCTTCGATTGCTCTTCCAACTCATCGTAAATAACAGACTCGCCCAATAAATTGGCACTTTTGTCATCGGTTGTGTCCTGAAAATCATCAAAATCGTTGTTCTGTAATCACCACCGCAGTAAATCTGATACGAAATTTGGTCAGTTAACACATTTTGTTTACGCATGCACTCGAAAAACTGCGCAAGGCGCCGATGCCAGCT